ATGGACTAAATTGAGAGAGCTCCATGTAGTCTGTAGGAAGAAATGCAAATGCAAAGAGTGGACTAATGCAAAGGGTAGGCACTGCTCCTGGGGAGCTCTGCCATTCCCTAGAGCAGTGGTTCTCAACCTATTTGGACTTGTCACCCTTTGTTCGACACCGGGCAATCCTTGGGGAATGCCACCTCTTAGCCTTAGCGCTTATCCCTTATGCCAGAGGGGTTGCTCTGAAGCCCACTATAATCCATGGAAGATCCTGTGCTTTAATAAGCTTTGTCACACGATGAGAAACACCCTGCACAGCACATCGCTCCAGTGACACAGCCATGTTCCCCTCCAACATGTCCTGAGCAGCTCAAAGCTGCTGACCAAAACCACCTTTTCAGCAGAATAAATCCCCTCTGTGTTGTCTCCTTTTTAAAAAACCAAACCCTTGTAATTCATCTTGGTTTCCAGCAGTATTCAATGAAAAACTAAAAAAGCATCTGTGCGCTTTCCAGCATAAATGTTAATCACCAAACTTCACTGGCAAGTTTCCCTGAAAGCCAACTTGGAAGTATCGTCTCCAAGAAAAGATGCCGTGGCCTTTAGGAGAGCTGATACCGACACGTCAGCTGTCATCATCTTAAAAGGCTAAATTAAGCATCTGACCACAGTTTAATTTCTGCAAAAAATCCATGCTAATTTAAATTGCTTTAGATTTAATTAAAAATGCTTTTGTATTGAGCTAATAATGTAACTCTGGTAATGAGTATCAAGTGGCATCTAGAGGGCATATTTAAAAACTAATCTGGTGAATAAATAGAGCTAATTAACAGTTAGAATAATGCTTTATGATTATCCTTTGTTTATAAATGCTGTTGCGTTCAGTGTGTTATTAAATGAAATTGGTAATTAATGCATATCAAAGATATTTTTCACTGAGCTTGTATTAAAGGCTCTCTCAGATGCAACACCTTGGAGAAGAGCTGCGCTGGTTTTTAGGGGGAGGGGGGAAGGAGGCAGAGAAAGGCCATGGTCTGGTTTCCCCTTCATGTACTCGCCTAGCCCCTTGCTGGGGCTCTTAGCACAGCAGCGGTGGTCGATCCACACCTGCCCGCTGAGCACGGGGCTGCACATCTGGCTGGGGGACCAGAATCACCCCAGTGCCCCGGCCGGTCTCCAAACTGAGTCACGACAATGGGTGCACGTTCAAGGCAGGGACCCTCAGCATGCAGGAGCACCAAATCCCTTAGTGGTGCATAGGGAACAGGAGATCCAGGGTCTCAGCCCCCTCCGTCACCCCGCGGGGATTTGAATCAGTGCCCCCGGACTGATAAGCGAAGCACGCTAATGACCCCGCTGCAAGCTAGGCACTGCCCAGCGCGCTCTCCGCCCCTCCTGCCGAGGACGGACCACTGGTATGTGGGTCCAGGAGGAAAGTAAGTTAGAGCAAAAGTGTCTCCGTAAAATGACTGCTGCTCTGGAAGGGCGAGATTGTTTTACGAGATCTTGGGGTCTCATCTGGTCTCTGCTCCCACAGAAATGGAAAGTAGACTGTGTTACCTTACCATTTTCGCCAGCGAGTAATGAATGCAAGGTGGAGAGCACGCTGGGTAACATCTGGCCTGTGGCCCGGTGGCTACAGCACTCTGCTATAAGGCAAAGGACATGAGCTCAAACCTCCTTGGACTAAGGTCTTCCACTCCCTGGCCTAAGGGGTGGTCGGGGCTCACCGTTTCCTTTCCTCCAGCCAGCACATGTGCATTTTGCCAGAGATGGGAGCAGCACGCTGGACTGTGCTTAAGTGCCCAGTTACTGCAGTTTTGCCTGTGCCACTGAAGTGCACGGCGCTCAAATAGGATGGAGCTTGCTCCCAGTTTCTCACTGTCCATTCTGTCACGTGGGGAAAACAGCTGAAGCTGAGGGGTTTGGGGGCAGGGATAATAAATACATGAAGAGCTGGAAGATGCAGAGGCACTGAAGGCTGCAGAAGTGCCTGAGAGGGAGAAAGCCCGAGTGAGCCATTGCTGCGGCTTCCCAGGGCTCCAGCAGACACTTCCTTCACCGCTCTGGGGTAGTACAAGATTACTGGCCTATCCCAGCAGCAAACGACTACCCTCTTCCTTGCACACCTACATGCATGTACATGCACACCTGCACACCAACCTTTGCACTGTCTCTAGCATGCAGAGGCTCGGCTGAGTGATGATGGGTTTTAAACAGACAGGCCAGACTGGCCGAAGAGCTCAGCTGCTAGTTAGGCAGGCAGATGATGGACTCAACACAGCCAAAAGCTTCCACTTTTCCCCAAACTCCTCCAAACTAACTCATCATCGCCGCTGAGGATGATTGTCTTCCATGACTGTCTTATGTGTGGGTCTGAAGATAACTAATGAGGCTTATCCAGGACCGACAGACTCTGTTGCAGCTCGGACACATGTTTCCGTTCAAGGTGGGTGGCTCTGGGTCCTTGATTTGGTCCGCGACACGCTGTTTCTCCCACTCCCATCTTTCCATCTCCTATCATTGTCGGGAGGTTTCAAAGTACTGAGATCCTCGCAGCAGACTCTTCCTCCGTTTGGGGCAGTCCTGGGTGGAGGACCTGTCCAAACTAACTACAGTCGCTGTGAAAACTGGAGAGGGAAGAACTGGGCTCCAGGTGTCCCCTTTATGGCTAAAAATCACCATTCAAGGGGTGCTCTCATTCTGTAAGCCGCACCGATTGGGGACCTCCAAAAGCCACATCCAAGGCAGCTTGCACCCGACTGCTGCCCTTTCTAAAGGCCCTTTTTTGGGGGTTTTTTCAAGCCTAATAACCTGAAGCTTAAAGTCAGCCTCTGCAGAAAGCCCCAAGTTTCTCGTGATAAGGTTTCGGCACCTTTTCATGGAGCAAACTTTCCAAAGCAACTCTGCAGCAAGAACAAAAAGGAAGTCATTCTCGTTAACAAGATGCAAAGTGGGCCGTGCATCCAGCGCCGCTGCTCGAACCTCTGCAAGGCGACTTCCATGCCGGATTGCACTGCTCCACCTCCCGCTGCAGCGAGGACTCATGGGGCAACAAGAACAAGTCAAGATCATTTACCAAGTGTGGCTATGCGTCAGCCTGGGCAGAGCTCAGACCCCAGCACAGCGATTAGAGGAATTTGCTCTCGGACTAGGTGGACCAGCTCAGGTCCGCATGGAAATGCCAACCGGGCACGTGGTGCAGCACTTCCCAGCATAGCAAGGCATCCGGGGAGCTGCTTCTGGAAGAGCAGGAAGACTGCAGAAGCGAGGGCGGAAAACCTCGTGGCCGGGCACAAACTCTGGAGCGGTCACAGCCCAAGGTTACCGACAGCGTAACATTAACTGTAATGTCATATCTTTTCCTTGATATCTCTGCTGAAGCCTGATAAAGCCCCAAGACCATCTGCTGCAATCCTAAATAAAAGTGCACCGTACCAGCGAGCATCGTCTCTGCTCCCACACCTCGCACCCCGGGGAACGAAGCACAGCAGAAACTCGCACCGATACGTCTAAAACTACCGTGGATTCCTCGACAGCAATTCAACCAAAGAACAGGCAGTTTTGGAGCTGCATAGTCTGAGAAGCAGTATTTGCAGAGGTAGAAAGCTCCTGCTTGTTATCTGCTAATTATTGCATTGCTAAGAAAAATAATCTGAAATCTCTTTGTGCTTTAAGATCTCGGGAAGAACGCGTAGAGCGATCATGTCCTGAACTTATCTCCCCTACATAACGGCTGACACGAACTTGGAGAGACGCGTGGTGACAGGAGATGCGTGTGAACAGCTTAAATTTGTGGCACATGGCTTGCAGCTTCGAAAGAGTGTATGTCTGTTGGAAAGGTCCTTTTTGATTTTCTAATAAAGGAGACACTGGAGCTGGGAAAGCCCCAAATTTGACCCACAAAAGCCTATAAACTTACATAGCCACATGTATATGTTTCCACATAAAAAGTGGCAGATACAGATAAGTTCATTACAGAGCTTTGCAGGTGGTTTCATTTTTTAGCAAACGTATAAATGCTGTTTCCCCCTGCTAAAATATAACCAGTTCTCCACTCCACACTCACAGACAGAGCCAAATAGAGAGCACCACGGTGCAAAGCAAAGGATGTCGAGCTTCCAAGCTGGTACCAAGATACAAATATTTTCAAGGTATTAAAATCACCTTAATGGTTTCCTTTCCACCTAGGTTATGCACACATACTCAAAAGAGCTTGATTCCTCCTGAGTAACGCCTGCATTGACCTTGAAAGAAGGACATGATGCAGGAAACTCGGAGGACATGAGTGCTCCAGGTTGCCGGGGCAGAGAGAGATGAAGCCCATGTTTGCAGGGAAGGGATGGTAGGAGGTTAGCAGGGGCCCCAAAGGAAGCAAAGCTAGTCAAGAAGGCGGCACCGCAGAGGGACTCTGCCAGTCGAGACTGGTACGCAGAGGGAAGTTCCTGTCCACTGAGCTGGGCGCTGGATGTATTGCACGCCAGCTCCCTGCATGGATGCCCTATGACCGAGCACCCTTTCCAAGTGCAGAAGCCACTTACTTAGCATGCACTAAGCATCCCATGGGTCCCTTCCAGGGCTCAGCGTAGAGTAGCCAGTGCACCTCTCCTAAAACCAAGCGGCTCTTCTAAAACACTTGGTATTTACTTTAAAATAAATCTAGAGTTTGCAGAAGGGTCCAAAGCAACAGATCTGGAGCCCTGAGGTCTGCATTCATCTCCAGGACAGTGGCTGTGGGCATGTCCCATCATTGTCTTTCACCTTTATCCAAAGGAAAAAGCCTCCTAACTCTTTGGCCCTTCTGCCGAGACTGTCAGACCACGTATGCGACAGTCCCTTCTCCTCGGGGAACTGGATTGAGAGCAACGTAATTTGGAGAGACTGGCAAGCAGCCAGCACATGACAGCACGGCTCGGTCACAACCAGTTTGGGGCAGGTTCAAAGCAAGGATGAAAAGGAAAGGCTTGTTTTCAAAGAGAATTTACACTTGAAAAGTTGTCTGGCCAAAGATGGGTTACCTAAAACTCGCAACCTCTCTGCTCCGACTACCACTTCATTGTCGTCTGCCGAAAACAGCAACTTTCCAGATGTGGTTTTGACCTCAAATTTTTGGCTGTGTGCTTCCACGGCTTGGGGACCTGCAAGAGAAGAAAAAACTCTATGTGTTTCCTCTGGGGTGTTTTAAAGAAAATAGTAAGGAAACTTTATAAGCTGAATAGGCCCGAGCGTTGGGACTGTCCTAACAGCTCTGCCGAGACAATCTCAAAATGGATAGAGCCGTCACCGAGGCTTGTCCCCTTCAGAGTGTGACCGGGCAAGGAAATGGCAATAGCTTGATATTTTTGGCAGATATTTCAAACTATTACAAATTGCCCCAGTCTCTATTTACGCTCTAAGGAACAAAAACACTGTGCAACTTGGCACGACTGGGAGTTTTTGCTGGACGAAAGAGAAAGCACGGGATGTTCTGGGCCAGGATGCACGGGCACGGGCACAACTGTATGAGGATCCAAGACCTGCAAGGCTCATTTGTACGAAAAGGAGAAAACAAAGCAAGTCTGACCTCCCATACGCGGCCCGGCTCGGTGCTGTGATGGGTTTCTCACTTTCAGGCAGAGCCAGTGTACCTTGAATGACAGGATGCTGGCATCAATACAGCCCAGTTTAAAACCAGCATCAAGCTTAGGGACACGTGAGAGCCCGACTGCCTGCTCCAGCGCTGCACGGTGCCTTTCCAACACAGCACCCCTCAGCGCTGTGCATGGGACAATGTGAACGGCAGTGTCTCTAATATGCAGGAAGTTTCATGGCTGTCCAAACTTTCCCCTCATTTAGCTCTCCTCTTCCTTCTCCTGCTTCCCCCCAGGATGCACGCTGATGATGGAAAGCCCCGGGCCGTGCTTTCTGCTGGGCAGCCCAACACGCATTCGCTGCCCGCCTGGCACTTGCAGCACAAAGCATGGGCAACTTGACCTGAGCAAAACTTTGTACCAGCCAGCTGAACCGTCCTCTCAACACCCCAGCTTGTGCAATGCAAAGCTCTCCGGGGGTGCGATACAGGGCAGAACAGCCAACGGGACTCACGTTTTTTGTGGCTGCCTGAGCCAACTCTCAGACAAAAAAGAAATGAAATTCAAGGGTTCAGTGTTGCTAAGTGTGGCCTCTCACGGCACATAGGAAGCAGCCCACCCAGAACTAGGTAACTAGATAAGACCGCTGCTGTCTGCCCATGCAGTTTGGGGAGCCCAAATGCTGCCCGACTACACCCGCTATGCACTGCGTGGGTGACGGCAGGTGCAGGAAAGTGTCTCGCCACAGACAGCTCATCACGTTGGTGCTCCATCGTCTGCACCGGCAACCTGGGAGCGGTCTGCAGTTGGCCGGGGCATTCAATTTAAACCTAGAAAGCCCTAAATGGAGCCAAGCTAGTGGAGAAGACTGCCGCCCTTCTCCAGGATGCCCCACAGCAGTCGAGATCGGCAGAGCCAATTCGGATGGAGATCGCTGCACTTCCAAAGAGGGGAGCAGCTGGTAGCATGTTCCCTGTTCAAGGCCTCCCTCAGCTTCGGGCCACTCCTGTATATGAGACCTGCCGCAAAACCCAACCTTTCCCCGAGGCATTTAAGAAGAAGGTGGGTTGAAGAGTATCAAGGTTGTTACTGCACTATACTGCTATTACTGTTATCAGGATTCAACGTCTGAGCTATGGAGCAGGAGGTTATTAGGGAAGGGTGTGCAGCTTTGTTGTGTGTCATCGTGCCACTTTCCAGGACATCTGAATGCAGGCAAAGGCACTCCGAGCATGCCCAGAGCAGCACCCGCAGTCCTTATGCATCTGAATGAATACAGCGAGGCATCTGCATTGCACGCAGCCATGGGAGGAAGGGACATTTCCCCAAAGAAACTGCCTCAGAGGGCTTCACTGAAGCTTACACGTTTCCTATCCAGTTGGCTATCATGTTTCCCAAGTTGGCATTGATGCAGTATACACCAGGGGTGTCAAAACAGTCCCTGGCTACATGCCCCCAAACTCCCATGCTGGATCCAGTGCCTGTGGCACCTGCTCTAGGACCCACGCCGTATGCAATGTGCCTTCCAGCGAGCCTGGGGTGAGAGCTGCGTGCAGGGCTAGTCCCATCTGGCTGGAGCAGGCACTGTGTGCGATGTGCGTTGTGGAGAGCCTAGGGCATGCACTGCATGAAGTGCAGATGCTACAACAGCTGGAATGGGCACCGTGCATGGCATGCATCCTGCATGGCAGGCATCCTCTGCCCACGGGGCCCATCCAGGTCAAATCAGACCCAGGGGATGCACCGAGGACCCGATAATGTGAGCTGAACCAGGCCTGAAGACCATATATTTGACACCCCTGGTATACACCTTGCCCTGTATGTGCTGTGCCTGTGTATATGAGAAAGAGAGCGAGCCACGTAGGAACTTCCAAGCTCTTTCAAAACAGAGGCGCTCCAGAGACCCACATATTCCATTGCAAATAAATGGCAAATGATCAACAAACTAAACAAGTTCATTTTGAATGTGAGAATCTGGGAGCTCAGGGTTGAATTTATTTCTCTCCTCAAGGCAATTTTCACACACACGGCTTAAATCATTGCTTACTGAAGCTGTTTATTTAATTATTTAGGGCTCTGACTAGAGGCCAGATGTTATATAAGCAAGCCAGACAATCCAATCTCCTGTACAAACAACATGTTTATGGATTACCAGCCCTGCCACACAGCAATACTTCTCTCTGCCCCTAGACTGCCCTGTTATATATATATATTAAGCATTATACATGCGGGCGCTTGGAGCAAGAATCATACATGCACTCCAATGCCTATGCATGTTGTGGATGTGTGAAACCCTCGTTTCCCTGCAAACACGATGTGCTAAGAGTCCTTTATCAGCAGACGGGGCTTGGGGACGGTACAGTGTCCATGCACAGGCACTCTTAATCAACAAGTTCCCGAGATCTTTGGCAAGTCAGTGGTATCTTGGGATAATCCTGTGCCGATTGCAAATGAAATGTCAAGCTGCATATTTTCTTCCTGATCCCAAGGTCACACAAGTAACCTTTTGTCTCTGCAATGACTTTCCCATGAAAATGATTCCCGGCTTCCTTATTAGAAACACACAGCCAGCCGCTTCCCCAGCCCCGCTCCAAGGTGGTGCCCATGCACTCCTTGCCACTAGTCTCACACAGCCCGCTGAGCTTGTTTCCCCCCTCGTTACCTGTTACAAGACGAGTGAGGACTTTCGTCTTCTCGTTGAGAATATTCACTGTCACGTTTCTGGCGGACTGGAAGTACAGTGGGTTGCCCTGAAACAAAAGCACGAGAGAGAGAGCACATGAGTCAGGCACCACGCTCCAGAAAGACGAGCGCACGTAAGAAACCCTGCAGGCTCGGGTCATTCAGATGCAGTTGGCTCCTACTTTCCTTGTGTGCATCTGGCACAGGAGAGCAATGCATGCGGTGCCAGCCCTCCCGGGTCATCCACCAGAGAAAGGCCACGAACACAGACAAGGTCTGGGTCTGTGCTGCCTCACACCTCTGTCAAAGCCGAGCACTTTGAGTGCCAGCAATGCAGAGCAAGCGCTGGTGGACACATCTACCTGGATACCATGTCACTTCTGCACTGCTTTCACTTTGCGAATGCCCAGTCTCACTCCCCTCGCTGCCCTGGATAAGAGGCAAGAAAGAGTCTCCCCTTGCTTTAAGAATAGCCAACATCACAGGAGGTGAGCCTGGAGACACCGTTTACTCAAAACGGTCCGTGTGACACGGGGTAAATCCAAGTCAAAGCTGCAGCGTGCCTGGCCATGGGGACTGGGTCTCAGCAATGCATCTGGTTATTCAACTCTTCAACATCTGCCTAATGCTCCCGACTGATAGGCTCGGGGTCAGTCAGTGTACGTGGTGTCTGAGCAAGAGCCAGTCTTGCTGGTATGCAGATACAGCTTTTAATTTTAATGCACTTACAAACCACCTGGCATATGCCATTGCTTGCCCTTTACACATGGGTGGCCCTGGCTGTCACTCTGAGCCACCTGAGAAGTGCATTTGACCCTATTGCTTCATCTCTTAACTTCTTTCATTTTAAATCCATCCCTGCAAAACAGGAGCAGCTGCTGCAACACGGTTAGCTTCTCGCTACCTGGCACCTTCCTTTGCAGGTAGCCTACCCAGGTAAGAAAAGCTCCCCCTTCACCAGGGGGAACAACTGGTTCCTTCTGCACAAAGGGTCATGCCAGGGATCTTTGTCCAGTGAGAAGTGGCTTTTCAGAGAAAAAAAAACTGCAGGAGGAGAAGAGCATCACAGCTGTGTTCACATCAGTTATCCATTAGGAATTGTGCCCTTGCTTTCTTCCCCGAGCCTTTTGTGCAGCTAAAGGGCAGGTGGGAGAGGCTGGACATGCTGCTGGGGATGGCAAAGAAATGCTGATGGGGCTCAGAGCAGGGCCAGAGGACAGGGGAAAAGGTGCTGGGGAGGGATGACAGATTAGGGAAGGGGCCTGGCAGAGTGCCTGGAAACTAAATCTAAGAGAAGGAGACCATTGCATGCCTCCCAGCTACAATACCCCCAGAAATTATATGGAAAAGGGAAGGGACAGGACACAGAGAGGTGCTGAACTGCCCATCGGCAGCACAGCTAGGAACCCAAGCCCAGCTCCTTACGGCCGCTCCAGCGTCCTGGTCACATTCCTGCAATGCTGCCCAATACCCTGTTTTCACCCAAAATAACCCAGAATTTTGTAGTTTCATAGTTGTTAGAGTCAGAAGGGACCTCAATAGATTATCAAGTCCAAATTGTACTCAATCAATTATAGATGAGTAATATAGCTACATTAATGTATTCATATTGTAAATAGGGATCATGTTGCTTTGGAAGGGCTTCTTTGAGGTGACTTTGCTGGACTTTTGGTTCTTGGCTGGAGTCTTTCTGGAGTCTTGTCTACTTTACTTAAAGAAAGTGTCCAAAGACGTTTGGACAGATGTTCTCCGGGGAGATGAGCAACGCAGCGAACTTGTTCGCTGGCATGGTGTCGCATCGGATCAAGCGTTGGAAAGTCAGAACCGATGTCAGAAAGTTGAAACATTTATAAATGGTGTAACTTGAAATGTTGTAAGTCGAGGACTGCCTGTATTCAGAGGAGCAGATCACTACAGAAAGGATGCGGACAGCTTGGAGAGAGTCCAGTGGAGGGCAGTGAAGATGGTTGTGGGGCTGGGGGACAGGACTGGTGAGGAGAGGCTGAGGGAAATGGGTTGATTTAATCTGCAGAAGAGAAGACCGAGGTGGATTGAATAGCAGCCTTCACCTCCCTGCAGGGGGGGGCTGCAAAGAGGATGGAGCTGGGCTGGTCTCAGTGGGGGGCAGACGACAGGACAAGGAGCAATGGGCTCAAGCTGCAGCAAGGGAGGTTTAGGTTGGATACTAGGACAAATTCTCTCACTAGGAGGATGGTGAAGTGCTGGAACAGGTTACCCAGAGAGGTGGTAGCATCTCCATGCTTGGGAGGTTTTGAAGACCCAGGTAGACAAAGCCTTGGCTGGGATGATGTAGTTGGGGCTGGTCCTGCTTGGAGCAGGGGGTTGGACTCAATGTGACCCCCTGAGGTCCTTCCCAACCCTCATGGTCTCTAATTTAATGATCAGAGGAGAAGCTTTGCTTGGAGATACCCTAGAAAGGAAAAAAGCTGCCCCTTTAAAGAAAAGCTACTTGCTTGGGAAGACGCCTGTATTTCCTCTGCTCTTCCTGAAAGTGCCTGCGCTGAGGTTTCTCCCCTCCGCACCCCAGCCCAAGCTGGACTGGTTGGGCAATATGAAACATTAATGAAGCCATTGTGCCTTGTTTCACTTGACTTTGAATTGCCACCTTGCACGAAACTCCTTACAGGCAGATCTCCGTACGGACCGGGGACCTGCATGCTTGGAGCAGGGTGGGACTAAAGCCTCGCGCGCCTCTTCCATGAATGACGCATCGATCGCGTCCTCCTGACAACCGCGTCTGCAAAAAGCAAGCGCCAAAGGCACGTGTACTATCATTCATAAAATACAAAACCCCCTTCCGTTAATGGGCACAACTATTTGTGTTGCATCGTCCTATGGACTCAACCAATCAGGGAACAGAAAAAAAGAAAACCTTGTGCAATTTATCCAACCCATTACAATTAAGCCACAGGGGTTTCATTCTGAATATTCCCAATTCACTTACTGTGCAAAGAAAATAAATCAAAAGGGAGTCATTGAATACATCTGAGTTATGCACAAACTGGAGGAACCCGTGATTTGCTCACAAATGTTTTACAAGCATTCAAGTGGAAAATTTGCCTGAATTATCATCATCTTCATTACTGAGTTTGCTCTCAGTTTTCCTTGAGGCCTGACCGACTCAGTCCTATCGAGATGCTGCTGCAATAGCCGTGGAGGTAGGAATGATATCACAGAGCAGCACTGGTGGTTTCCATACAAAGCAGGGCTCGAAGGAATATGTATTTTTTTAACGCTCGGTGGTCTGGATCTTAAAAAGTTCCTTTTTAGGCCAGAACTCCCCATTAAGCTGTTTCTCCAGAGCAAAGGCTGAAACTTTGTAAACGAGGAAACCTTGTAAAGGCAAACGATGGCAAACAAATGCAGTACAACGAGGGTCTGAAGGCTTGATGCGACTCCGATCTTTACTATTTATTCACTGTCTGACCTTGGACATGTCACTTCAGTTCACCGTGTCTCAGTTTCCTCGTCTAGAAAATGAGACAAATCATTCTCAGCCATCTTTGTAATGTGCTTTCAGATCAGCAGATGAGACGTGCAATGGATGCAAGTACAAGGTATTACACTCTAATACCAAGACACGATGTCTGCAATACGTCCCCAGTTTGGGAGACAGACTCTCCGCAAAACCCGGGAAGGTTGGAAAGTTCAACGCATGCAGCATCGACGTCTGCAACGACCACAAAAGAGAAGTTAGGGACAGGACACCGGCAGTGACTTTTTATTATTTTGTTCAGTTCTCCCCTGCAGTATTTGTGCTGTTTTCCAGGCATTGATTATTTCATGCTTAATGGGAATGAAATAAACACATCTCCAGTTTATTATTCCCTTGCTTTTGCATTGCTTTCCTCCGAGACCTCGTCGGTAGAGCTTTTGAAATAGCATTTTTTACTGCTGCATTTCTAATTTTGTACTGATAAATGGGTGTAAAAGACAGACCCCCCCTAACCCAGGTGCGCTTACAGTCAGGGATAACCCTGTAATCATCAAAACCGTCTTATCACAGGTTAAACATGGTTCATGTTATGACCTATCTCATTTGACTTTCATTGCAGATCAACTGAGTCCTCTGAAAAGACTCCTGTGCCTTTTGGTCTCCATTAAGGTAGAAAAATAGTCTGAGCTACACGACTGGCTCAGTTTCAAACTCCATCACTGATCTGCATAATGAAAAGTTGCTCGAGAAAAATCCTAGCTAGATACGCCAAGAGGTTGTGCCCATCCAAATAAGACTCAGAGTACATTAGTGACCATGCTGCGCTTCCGCAGCCGCCTACTCCACGGATGCCGATCTCTGCTTTCAGACAACCACGTTTGCTTGATAGAAGAGATGTGCATTTATTGGTCTGTAGGGAAGGAATATTTCAAGCACTTAAAGTAATGCCCGCTCACATTTCCATAACTCCTCTCCCATTAAGAAATTAATAGAAGCAAAAAAAATATTCCCTGTTGCTGGAAATGCTGCATGTTTTACCTCCGCTGTCTTTCGGCTTGCACATACAGCAACACAAGCATCACCCACGCAGCCTTTGCAAACACTTCTCAATCTCTGCTAAAAATCCAGGTATGCTCCCAGCTGCTCCTCTGGCCAAACTCAAACCAAATGCAGGTGCATCGATTTGTGTTTCATTCTTCAAACAAGTGGTGAAGCAGGAGGAGGAAGGGGAGAGAGCATTTTTGTGCAGTTTTCTGACTCTTTCATGTTAACAGTCACACACACACACACACACACACACACGAAAAGGTGTGGTTACTGACCCCAAGTAACACTACCCTCTGCTTTCAGCCCGCTTGCCAACGCGGGTTCAGTCCTTATGCCAAGACGTGGATACTATAACTCCGGTCTCTTTCTACATACTTCCAGCTAATGTTGGTGATGGGGGATGTTGCCATAAGTTACAAATCATGTCTACTGTAATTATACCATAGCACTTCATTGAACAATAGCCTTTGATTTAACTTCCTACAGAACTTCTTCTGCATATTAAATCATGGTTCACCTCCCCCACGGTGCTATTTTATATGACTTTTTTTTTTTTTTTAAGTA